GGTGGTAACATTGAAAAAGAGCTAGCCAACAATTTGCGTTTAGATGTAAGTGAAAATGATCTCTATAAAATGGAATATAAAATTAAAAATATAGGATAATAAAAGGTTTTGTTTTGTTGTTTATTGTTGTTGTTATGATTTTAGATCTAAAATAATTATCATATTTAATTTGTTGAACGAATTGATTTTTATTATATGTAGGGAAATGAATTGGTCGAAGTTCATGAAAGAGTTGATTAAGAAATGAATATGAGTGAAGACAAAGGAAAAGCCATCTTCGGCCTTAACAAATCTATGTGGCCAAAAAGATTGAACCGATTTTAAACATATTTGAGGTTAACATTTGTCATTGACAAGTTCTTTGGTTCAATTGAAAGTGGAGATTGATATTGATCATTTTTTTTTGTCTGTTTTTGGTATGTTGGTAGGAAGTGGAGACATACTAAAGAATTGTGAGCATTCTTAGATACGGAAGCAACGTTTATTGGATATGTGGCATTATTGACAAGGTTAGTGATTATTGAATGACGACAGAGGTTATATATATATATATATATACATGATTACAATATTTTTTTAAACTGGATTAAAAGAAACAGTATAAACGTTTTGATCATGGTTCAATCTAGTTGGACTTTAAATCAACAAAATAGTGTCAATCAAGAGAAGACAATATCGACCAGACAAATTTTATCTCGTAAAGAAAATCTCAGGAATGCAATGATATGAGAATAATATAATAACCCCAAAATTTAAAATATACAATATCATGATTGCAAAGTCGATCATAAATTCTTAGTGATAGTCGCTCTTTTGGCAACATATCAAATATTTTGGTGAGAATTAGTAAACAGAATTACAAAATGATTTGAGAGTGAAAGTGTAACTTTGAAAAACACATGCCAATGTAGAGTCATGGCACGAGAACACCGGAGATATCAGAATTCTCGAACAAGGTAGAGAGCCAGGGAGACGTGGTAGGTTATTCAAGTTCCAACAAGAAGCTATGGTTTTATCCATCTCACTTCTTCCGGTTTTCATTTCCACTCTTTTGTAAAATCCGCTTCCGAGAACCTGGTTCTCCAAATCAGCTCCATAATATACCTTCAATGGGGCATCGTATAAAATAACTGTAATACAAACAAATCTGCTTTTTTGTCGTTATTAATCAGTTAAACACAAAGCAGATTGGTTTGTAGTAACAGTTTTTCTTTATTCGTTGTTGCAAGTATATTATGTAGTTGATTTAGATAACCGAGTTCTTGGAAGTGGATTTTAAAATAGAGGAGACATGTTAACCGGAAAAAGAGATATGGATCATTACAATGTTTCAGCTGGTTGAAACTTGAAGAACATACCACGTCTCACTGGCTTTTTACTCTCATTTGAGGATCGTGATATTTTTGGTGTTCTAGTGTCCTGGCTCCATGTTGGGATGTGTTTTTTAACGTTTTGTTGGGTAACGTTACACTCTCACTGTCTAAATCATTTGTAATATTATTTGCCAATTTCACAAACATGTTTGATGTTTTGATTGTATTCACAGCCTTTGTTGTTGTGTAGTTGTCATCATGCCAACAGAACTTGGAGTAGAAGCAGCACGCCACTGATAACAGATTCTTCTAAGTTGTATCAAAGAAAATCTAATGAATTTTTAAGATGCCACTTATATGCATGAAAATTGTGTTAACATATAAAACCGTTAATTCCTTATCACCTTTTAAGACTAGAACAACCGTATATTAGTTAACCAACGATCAATGAGAATGCAAAATACATTAATGAACTTTCTAGAAAAATCACATCCCTATTTATCATAACAGAACAACAATAATGATCGTTTTATCGCTTCATTGATTCTGAAAGCGTCCGAAAGTGTCACTGCTTTTGTTGATGTCAATGGAGTCATTGATTTTGCTTCCATGTTTTTTTTTATCCTTTTTAGCCATGGGACCAAACTTTATGATCTACTTAATGTAACTCCTAAAAAATTTCATTTAATGAAATATTAACATTCTTAGCAAAAAAAAAAAAAAAAAAACAACAACAACAATAATGATTCATAGATATTTACCTTTAAAGTTTCTAAATAATTAACTAAAACAGAAAAATAACGATTTTTAATTCTTTTAACGATTATTTTTCTCTTATTCTTATTTAGGTAGTTATTTAAAAATTTTAAAGTTTAGTATTTATGAATCAATATTGTTGTTCTATTATGAAAAAGGGATGATCTTTTCTAGAAAGTCCACTGAATATTTTGCATTCTCATTGGCTGATGTTAAGTGGAGATTGATATTGATCATTTTTTTGTCTGTTTTTTGTTTTTTGGTAGGCATTGGAGACATACTAAAGAACTGTGAGCATTATTGACAAGGAAGCAAAATTTATCTGGAGATGTGGCATTATTGACAAGGTTAGTGATTAATGAATAGGAGTTCATATTTATATAGCAAACAATACAAACGTTTGGATCATGGTTCAATTTAGTCTGACTTTAAATCAACAAAATAGTGTCCATCAAGAGAAGAAAATATCAATCAAACAAATTTTATTACTTGAAAATAATCTCAGGAATGCATTAAAATGAGAATAATAACCCCAAAATTTAAAAGATACAATATCATGATTTCAATGTCGATTGTCTAGAGTCCTTCTAGCAAGCTGTTAATCCTTAGTGATAGTCGCTCTTTTGGCATGTACTATACACAAATTTGTATCTTCAAAAAATTCAACAAAATATGCTTCAGCATTTTCTTGAAATGTCTCAACAACACTTCTGAAATAGTAAAGTTGTAATGATATCTCTTTCACTAGTTTCTGGAATGGAAATTTTCTTAATTATCATCAGTTTTGTGCTTTTTATGGTATTTTCTGATCTCTGCATGCATGTATTTTTGTAGCATTATAACTATTTTCTTTTCCATAATTGATTATTTCCTACCTTCGTCACTAAGTCAATTTGGAAAATGAAATAGTTAAAGTGTCAAACAAATACATGCTAGAAACAATGGCACTAAGATTGATCCGAAAATATTATAAAAGCATGAAGTGAAAGATAAAAAAAATTTCATTCCAGCACTAGTGAGAGATATATTAATGACTGATTTATGATTCCAGAACAGCGTTGTTGAGGCTCTCCAAGTACTTGTTAAAGCTTATTTTGTTGAGTTGTTTAACGATACAAATTGAGTAGTAAACGTCAAAAGAGGAATTATCTAGTTGAAATCATGATATTGTGTTCTGCTGAGGCTTCTTTCCACCAGTAATCTAAAATGGAAATCAGATACAAGCCAACAATTAGTTAATAACCCATCAAAAGCGAAAGGACTTATGCTAGTCTCATTTAAAATCAATAGTTTGGGACCAAAACTTCCAATTTCTAAAAATGCAATTACAAAAAATAAAATTATGGCCCGATTCGCGACTAGAAAATTAGTGGTGGCAACGGATTTTGAGGTGGTATGAAAGTTAGTTGTCCAAAACGAAATGTTAAAAGAGAATATGGAATAGTCAGAAGCGGTAAGAGATTACAATATGAACATATATTTTGATTGGTAATAATGTGACTACAAACAATAAATGATAATAAAAAAATTTAAAAATCAATTTTAAATATATAAGTACTTATATATATATCATTAAAATAAAAAAAAAGTATTAAAAATATGTGTATTATCTAAATAAAAGTAACGCTACTTTATAAGAATTAAAGATTATCTAAATAAAAGTAACGCTACTTTATAAGAATTAAAGATTTTCTAAAAAAATCTAATAAGATAAGAAATTAATCTAAACATCCAATGAGATTTCAAATACGAGACGAAAAATATCATTTACATTATCTAAGTAAAATTAGCGTTTTTTATTTTGTACAACCTTATTTTAATACGTCAACTTGTACTATTCAAATACAAAGAAAGTAAATCATTTGCTGATTAAAACAAAAAACAAAAAAAAAACACTTACGATTTGGTAAATTTGATGGTCATCGCAACAAATCACGACATTTTTAAGCTCCATTAGAATTGAAACAATTAATCCACTAATCAGTGCTTGAATCTCTACTTCTTCGTAAAGTAGTTTCATGGTTGTTTAGTGCCAATATTTTCTCCGTAAAGTATTTTTTTCCAAAATTTGAAGCATAATATAGGCACTAAACAACCATGGAAAAACATTATCTAAATTTTTATTCCAAAAAACGGGCGGATAGATTATGTGACAATCGAAGATATCCCAAACCTTAAAGGACAATCTCGTCATTGTTTAGGTCATGTTTGGGATATCTTCGATTGTCGCATAATCTATCCGCCGTTTTTTGGAAATCAAATGTAGATCATGTTTTTCCATGGTTGTTTAGTTCCTATATTATGCTTCCAATTTTGAAAAATATACTTTACGGAAAAATTATAGATACTAAACAAGCATAGAAATACTTTACGAAGAAGTAGAGATTAAAGCAATGATTAAAGTGGGCTAATTGTTTCAATTCAAATGGAGCTTAAAAATATTGTGATTTGCGGCGATGACCATCAAATTTACTAAATTGTAAGTGTTTTTTTCTTTGTTATTTTTTTTATCAGCAAATGATTTACTTTCTGTGTATTTGAATAGTACAAGTTGACGTAGTAAAATGAGGTTGTACAAAATAAAAATAACGCTAATTTTACTTAGATAATGTAAATAATATTTTTACCCTCGTATTTGAAATCTCATTAGATGTTTAGATTCATTTTTTATCTTATTAGATTTTTTAGAAAATCTTTAATTCTTATAAAGTAACGTTACTTTTACTTACATAATACACATAATTTTTTAATACTTTTTTTTTTATTTTAGTGATATATATATATATATATATATATATATATATATGTATATATAATTGATTTTTAATTTTTTTACTTAAAAATAAGTAACTTTCAGTTTAGTCTCCTCAACTAGATGCCCTGATTCTTTCCTAAACTGCAAAGTTTTTCATAGAAAACAAAACAAATGCTTTAAGGAACCAAAACCAAAGTGTGATTATCCATCAAATCAATAATGTGAATGATCAGTACCGTCTCACGAGTAACTTCTTTGGCTGTGACTGCAGGACTAGCTATTACACTTTGAATCATAAACTTTTCATTGCTCTGCATATCAGAATTAAGAACTTCCTTTTGGGCTTGCATTGTCACTAGACAAACACCAAAAAAGATTCATCAAATTCCTAATACAAGAACCAGTTTAGCAGCTGAAGCAAAAAAAATGTTTCCCCAAAAAAAAGATTAGAGAACGGACCAAGAACTTTACAAGTTGACTTTGGAAGAATTAGTCCATAATTAGACCTAACGCAATAATTTTTCGGATTTTTCGTCTTAACCTTAAATTAAAAGAAAAAAGAAACAACCCCTAGAAGCCTTAGAAACACAAGAGATAATCAACAACAAGTTAACGATTCCGAAAACTTCTTACCTTAAAGGCCCCATTATTGTCTGTCTTGTTCGTCAAGTTAAGAGAGCAAGACATCTGCTTCTTCAATTCAACTACATCAACTCAGCGAAGTAAATAGTGAAATTTAATATTAAACAACAATCTGGTTATGGGACAAGAAAGACATGCAAAGCAAAATCATGGAGGAAAAAAAAGAGTCAAAATATAAGCTTACAAGGGAATTGAAGGTACATAGGCTCGATTTTGAGAAGCTCGTTGTTACCATCTCCATAAGATCGCCGGAGATTCAAGCTAGGTAAATAAGATTTGATCCATTTTTGGAGAAGAATGATAAAAAGTAGTGATGTCACTTACTCACTTAGCAAAAATGAATAAAATGGTGCATTATATATGTAACGCATCATCTCTTTACGATGCTCTTGAGAGAAGATTTCATCTAGATGACCAGTGATATATAAGCATATATTACCTGATATGTTTTTGCATCATATTGATTATTTTCTTCTCACATCAACTTTACCAAAAAAAAAATACGATTTAATTAAGAGAGTAGTGAAATATAGCTCACAAAAGGGGCAATAAAAAACATGCAACCAGAATTTTCAGCAGAAAAATGTCCACCATCAGCCTGCAACGCCGTCATATAGAGTAACCCTCTTCGTACGTTATTTTCTCTGCATTCTCTACTCTCACTCGTGGAATTTTCTTTCCCTTAGAAACTTTTAGATAAATATACAAAAACAAAAAGTAATATTCTGGCCAATTTAATTAATTAACAAAAATTAATGCTAGATTTTAAGGTTTTTACCTGCATACGCCAAAGGAGATCCGCACTGGCTTTGAAACTTGATCGGTTGTTTGCGAAATTCCGTCGAGCCTCCTCAACCTTGGAAAGTTCCTCTACAGAGCCTGCTTTAGCATGAAACTCCCAAATCTGCCTTCCAAGGTAGTTGTTGGTGCTGAAAAAATGAGGGTCTTGTCCTGCCTCAGCTCCGATCCTAAGCCTCCACATTTTGGATGATTGGATCAATCCTACTAGCTACAAAGAACAAGTTCTTAATTAAGTTTATATATATATATACACGTTTTTGTTAGGATTTTTATGTTTGTATCAATCTCTTCCCTGCAGCGAGAATCTGATAATCTTAATTCTTAAGCATCAGCCTGTCTTTTATCTGATTATCATGTTATGGAGGAATCTTTTATCTGATTATCATGTTATGGAGGAACAACCCATCAGTTTCTAATCATATACTATAGATTATATCATAGGTACACAATGTCAAAATTTATGAGATATTATTATATCAAAATCAAATGGTAATGAAATGAATGATTCAGATATACGTAGGGGTATCAAAATGGTTAACCCAACTCAACCCAACTCAACTCAACTCATTACCCAATGAGTTAATGAGTTGAGTCAACCCATGAACTCATTTAATTTGATGGGTTAGAAGGTTAAATGGGTTGACCCATTAACCTATTAATGTAATAAATAAATTAATAATTAAAATATAATAATAATAATAATAATAATAATAATATTAATAATAATCATCATCAATTCATCATCCATCACTATTATTTGGCGGGAAAATCACAGATTTACGTTTTTGGCGGGAAAATTACGGATTTACGTTTTTGGCGGAAAATTTTACATTTTCATTTTTGGTTAAAAATTATAAAAACATTTGGCGGGAAAATCACGGATATACGTTTTTGGCGGAAAATCACGGATTTACTTTTTTGGCGGGAAAATTATATATTTTCGTTTTTGGTTAAAAATTATAAAAAATTTTGGCGGGAAAATCACGGATTTACGTTTTTGGCTGGAAAACTACGGATTTACTTTTTTGGCGGGAAAATCACGAATTTATATTTTGATGGAAAAATTGTGTATTCACATTTTTGGCGGGAAAATTAAAGACTATATTCAATCGGTTTAGAATTTTTGGTTAGACTCAAATTGAAATCGGTTTATAGATTTGAATTGGTTTGATTCAATTTAACAAAAATTGATAGGTTAAATGGGTAAACCATTAAAACCATTGACCCATTACAACCCAACTCATTTGATCCATCAACCCATTTGACTCAATAACTCATTTGATCCATCAACTCATTTGAGTCAAAAATTTCAACTCATTAGGATTCATGGGTTGAGTTGAGTTGGGTTGATCCATGAATCTTGACCCATTTTGACACCCCTAGATATACGTATATGCTAAATTTTGTTAAAAAGAAAGATTTAAGTTAATTAAGCAAAAGTTAGGATCATTAAGTTTTTTAAATTTGAGATAAATCTTCATCTCTATTAAAATTTAATAAATAACAATCAATTTTCTTTTATAAACTAATCAATAATTAACCAAAGTTATGAGTGGGAACATTACAACCATTAAGTTTTAATATTTTATTTTTAAATCCAAGTTGCTATATAAAAAGTTGAGTATCTCAATATGATAAGGTTTCATATAAGTTTTATGAAAATGATGAGGAAAAATGCCATTGCTGGAAACCCTTTTAAGAAACTCACAATTTTATATTTTTTGAGTTGAATTGAACCATATATACAAATGTTTATGACCATAAAAAGAAATTCAATTGAACAAAAGTCTATTAATAAGAATTCAGTTACGCTCTAAATTATATGTGTTTTTCAATCCACATTATTATTGATTTTGTAGCATAACCAAAGCGGGAAGAAACTCAAAATTTTCTTGGAACATTAATATTGGTCTTCAACAAACTGGAATATGCCCTTCTTATTTGTTTTATTTTTCCCTCAAACGTACTAATATTATTACCAATACTCAAGAACATCATGCAAGTTTCTTGAGTAGACAAGTAGGAGGACTACAATCCAAAAACGCATGGTAAATTTATGAAGAAGAAGCATTGGATCTTCGTTTGACAAAAAAAAAAAAAAAGAAGCATTGGATCTTCAAGGCTTGTATTAAAACTAGAGAACCAAATTCAAAAATTACCTTCTCGAAACCCGATTATCTAGACATTTCATAGCCAAGGGGGAGCTGCAGTTTCTGCCTCTAAACTAGAAGGTAAAAGTGGATAGGCCTTTGCTCCAACCCACCTTGCTTATTTCCCTGTTTAATCCCTTAAGAATCCATCCAATACTGCACCGGTTCTAATCTGCTTTCCATGCCACTTCGACATTACATTTGAAATGGCCTACCCACTTGATTGAAGGTGAAATGACAATAGGTTTGTGTAAGTTCGGATGAGGTACGATAAATTACGGAAAGTAAACGACACAAGAAATTTGTTAACGAGGTTCGGTTTTTCCTACTCCCTGGGACCACGTCCAGATTTCGATTTCACTAGAACAAGAAAGCAAATTACAACAAATTCGCAAACGCGTAAAACAAGCACAACCCTCTTGATTTACCGCTCCCTTCTATAACGTGCAACCTTAAGGATAATCTCTACCCTTAACTAAACTCCCCTTTGAGTCTAGATTTAATCATGATAACCTAACCCTGAGCTAAACTCTTCTTGAGCCTAGACTTCAAAAACAAAACCACTTGATCACACAAGCACAAACCCGCAAAACTAAGTTCCACACAATCTCACAGAAAGCTCTCAAGGATTTCTTCTTTATGCCTCAGCTCTCTTGCTTCTCCAAGACGTCCTCCACTCCTCCTTATTTAGCCAAAACGATTTCCTAATCACCATAGGAGAAGATTTCCAATTTCCATAAGAAAAAGTAAATTTCCTTTTATACTTTTCCTTTTTCTCATAACTCCACTTTCATCAAGTCTTCCAAATCTCTTTAAGTCCTTTTTCCTTTGTGATTCATCCTCTAAACATGCTCCAAACATATCTTCTCAAACCTTCTAGAAACCGACACTCACACAAAAACAGTCGCATCTTGACTTACTTCTTGAATCATTCAGCAACTCCATCAGACAAAAACTTGTATTACTTCTTAACTCATTCAACAACTTCATCAGACTACAGCTACATCTTCATTCTCCCCCTTTTTGACTATGTTTGTGAACTCAACAGTTCTAACTCCAAAACAACAACACGAAACACATCATCATTCTCCCCCTGAATGAGTCACAACATGGTCAAAATTGCTTGGAAAATTCTCCCCGCTTTGCAATACGAGGTTGATAGCCTAGTTCACCACCTCCATAGAAATCATCTTTCCTAACCCAAATCTTCCTGCGCCTTAAGCCTTCATGACTAGAATCTCGAATGAATCTGAAACAATTCCTCTTAATATGCCCTTGAACTCCACAATGATAACGTGTAGGACCATGAAATCTCACATCAAAAGCATTCTCCATTCGATTTCTCTCCCTCAACAATCTGAAACACCTTGGCCTAATATGCCCAACAACACCACAATGATGACAAACAGGTCTAAAAATTCGTTGAGGTGCATTCTTCAATTCTTGATTTTTCCTTAAAGTTGATGCAGTCTCTGTACCAGTTCTCGTAGTAGTTCTTGTACCAGATGCAGTCTCTGCCACAGTTGCAGTTTCTGACACACTTCCTGATCCAGACGTGATTTTTCCACTAGAAACAAACACCAGATCTGATTTTAAAAGTTTTCCTTCAAATCCAAGACCACACTTATCAGTCTTGCCAATATTCAGAATATGATCCAACTTCTTTGTGTCATTATTAAGCATCCTCAAATTCTTTTGAGTTTCTTCAAGTTGTACTTTAGCTTGTGATGCTTCTTCTTCTTTTTATGCTGCATATTTCTGTGCTTCAACGACTTTAGCCTCTAACTTGAGTTTCTCCTTAGTTAACACTGAATTCTTCTCAACCATTTTAAGCCAATGCTCATATAAGGCTCTATAATTCTCATGAAACTCTTCATCACTGATACTTGCAGCATCGTCATCACTTTGATCATTGTCACTTTCAATTACAGCTCCTGTTGCGGACACTGATGCAGACCCTGACACAGACGCTGATGCAGACCCTGACACAGACGCTGATGCAGACCCTGTTGCAGACGCTGATGCAGACTCTGTTGCAGACGCTGATGCAGACTCTGTTGTAGTTTCTGGCAAAAAATTAGTAAACGCCACAAAATTTTTCAGTTCTTCTTCCTCATCTGAATCAGTTTCAGAATCACTAGTCACAACATTCATGGCCTTCTTCTTATGCTTTTGTAGATTGGCGCATTCCGAACGAACATGTCCATATCCTTCGCATTCAAAACATTGCACATTCTTTGATGAACTTCTCAATTCTTCATCAACTCTATCCTTCTTCTCTTTTCCCTTTCGCTTCAGATATTTAGTAAACTGTCTTGACAACATAGCCATTGAATCTTCAGTTGAAGATCCCTTAAGAGCAACTCCAATGTCAACTTCCTTCTTCACTTCATCTACCTTATTCATCTTTCCTTTAGCTTCATATGTTTTGCTTAACTCAAATGCTTGAAGAATCCCAACAAACTCATCAAAAGCCATCTCATCTAGATTATGAGTTTCTTCAACTGCAGAAATCTTTGACTCAAATTTTGCAGGTAATGATCTCTTCAACTTCTTCACTAGCTTTTTGTCCTTGTAAACCTTTCCAAGAGCAAACGATTCATTAGATATGTCACATAACTTTGCACTGAAATCAGCCATGGTTTCTTCTTCTTCCATTCTTAGATTCCCAAATTGCAAAGCCAACATATCTAGTTTTGTTCTCTTAACGCTTGTAGTACCCTCAAACATATTCTCCAATGTCTTCCATGCTTTTTGAGCTGATGCACATTGAGAAATCAACTTAAAGCGACTTGAATCAATAGCATTGTAAATCGCAGTCTTAGCCTTAGAATTGCAACTTGATAGCCTTTTCTCTGCAGCAGTCCACTTATCTCTAGGCTTGAGACTTACAACTCCTTCATCATCCGTAACTTTAGGAGCCTCCCAACCAAGTTCAATTGAATTCCAACAATCTTCATCAAGATTACTAATAAAAGCTTGAATACGAACCTTCCAATATCCATAATTCGCTGAATCAAGCAGTGGTGTT